AACGAACTCAACACATTCTGCCGTAATTGCTCGCTTTATGTTTGCTCTCCTCCCTGACAGAATTCTCAAGCGCCTGCACCAGGCTCTAAACAGACTCTTAGAACCTGAGGACCAAATACGTGTTTTTTAAGCATCATTTCACAGGGATGGAAACACTGCCAAGAATGGGGAGAATTAACCGCTGGAAAATAAACACCTTTTGAACTGTTCCAGGAGGCAGGTGGAGTGTGGATTCTTTCTCCCACTTCATGGCTGAACCAAATAAGGCTTGGAGCAAGCCAACACCTGTATAAGCTGGTATGCTACCTCTGACCCAGGAGCTTCTCCCACCTGCCAGGGGAGTCTAAATCTCTATCGAATGCCAGACAACAGAACTACACAGAAAAAGAAGCTTTGTTCTGTAGCCTATATGATGATGATGATGATGATGATGATGATGATGATGATGATAATGGACAGGCATTGTCTCTCTATATATAAGATACTCATTTCATTTATGTTTCTTACACTATAACATACAGTGAGACGTATTAAAACATACTGAGGGGCACCTGGCTGGCTCAGTAGAAAGGACATGTAACTCTTGATCTCAACAGGTGTAAGTTTCAGCCACTTCAGGGGTAGAATTTACTTAAAATATATATATATATATATTTTAATTAAAAAAGAAAAGACAGACATACTTACTGGTGTTTTGGTATTGGAAGTGGGGAGGAACAATCATATTATTGAACAACTACATGGATTATGTGATTTCCCTTCCACCCAAAAAAAAAAAAAAAAAAAATCCTGTACAGTCAGAAAATGAGATAACACAGCACAAAAGGAGAGCGAAGGTTCTGGAGGCAGAGGGGCCGTGGTGAGGCCTCAGCTTCACCCTCAGCCTTGAGCAAATGACTGCATCTCTGAGATGGCCTCCCCCGCTGTGAGGTGGTCATGAAAACACTAGCCTTTTGGGGTCATCGGAAGAACTTAAAAATACACACACATGCACACAATATTGGGTGTGTGCATGCACACACGTGTGCATACATAATACAAACTTAACACAGAGTCTGGCACAAATTCTCCTGAAATAAAAACACTCTTTGCCATTAGCATTGCATTGTCATGACTGACCTGAGAATTCTGAATTTAAAAATGCTGAGTCTCTGGAGCATAATAAGGTACTGTTTTTGGAGGGGAGTTTAATACCAATTGACATTTAAAGTCACACCATTTCTATAAACACACACACACACACACACACACACTCCTTTGTATTATTTTTCTCGATAAAGAAAATGTCGCAGTGGAAGGCTATGAAGGACATTCACAGTCTATATTGCATATTTCTGTAATAGTCTTTTTTTTTTTTAATTTTTTTTTCAACGTTTTTTATTTTATTTTTTGGGACAGAGAGCGACAGAGCATGAACGGGGGAGGGGCAGAGAGAGAGGGAGACACAGAATCGGAAACAGGCTCCAGGCTCCGAGCCATCAGCCCAGAGCCCAACGCGGGGCTCGAACTCCCGGACCGCGAGATCGTGACCTGGCTGAAGTCGGACGCTTAACCGACTGCGCCACCCAGGCGCCCCTGTAATAGTCTTTTTTAAATAAAAAAAGCACTTCCTTTTTTGGTAAGCAGAAAAAATACATTTTTTATAAAAAGTCATTTCTCCATTTCACTTTTTTTGATTTTCATTTTTAAGGGAATCTGCTATGTAATAAAAAGTTAAATCCCAAATTAGGTATCATTTAATAAACCATTATGTTGTTTGCCCCCCATAAGAGGTCAGACTCATGGGGGGTTTGTCTGTTTTGTCATAACCAAACTTTCGATACCTAAGTAGTGCCCAGTATATGGTATTCAGTATCTGTTAAATAATACATTTAAAAGCTCATAAACATTGTTCCAGCTCTTCTAAGAATTCATACTACAAAAATATTTGCCCAATGGCACAAAGATAAAGAACAAAGGCTGCCGCAGAATTCACAATAGCAAAAAGCTGCAAAAAATACATTTTTTCCCAATAATTCTGGTTACTGGAATATTCTGTCATTTTAAAAAAGACTGAGGTAGATCTTTACAAAGTGATAGAGACATCATGGTAAGGAATAAAAAGCAAGCCTCAAAACAGTATGACTGTTTAACAGTATGACTCTGTATTTAAAATTTAAAATAATAAGGGGTTCCTGAGTGGCTCAGTCGGTTAAGTGTGTGACTTGGGCTCAGGTCATGATCTCACAGCTTGTGAGTTCGAGCCCCGTGTCAGGCTCTGTGCTGACAGCTCAGAGCCTGGAGCCTGCTTCGGATTCTGTGTCCTTCCCTCTCTCTGCCCCTCCCCCACTTGTGTTCTCTCTTTCTCTCTCTCTCTCAAAAATAAACAATCATTAAAAAAAATTTTTAATAGTAAAAATAAATAGTAAAAGATTTCTGTCGTTTTAAGTAAAACAAAGTTAGATAATAAGTGTCTTTATACGTGAAGGAAAATATCTGGGAACACGTATTATACCACCAGTGGTGATTTTTTTGTCTCAGTGTAAGGCTATGAGGGATGTTCACTGGATACACTGTGTATTTCTATAATTTTAATAATGAGCACTTAATAGTTTTGTAAACAGAAAAAAATACATTTTTATAAAAACAGTCATTTCTCCATCTCATTTTTTTCTGATTTTAATTTTTTTTTTAAGTTTATTTATTTATTTTGAGAGAAAGAGAGTGCAAGCATGAGCAGGGAAGGGGCAGAGGGGGACGGGGTGGGAGAGAGAGAATCCTAAGCAGTCTCTGCGCTTGGGCTCAAACCCACAAACCGCAAGATCATGACCTGAGCCAAAATCCAGTCAGATGCATAACCAACTGAGCCACCCAGGAAACCCTCTGATTTTAATTTTCAAATGAATCCGACATAGAAGTTAAATCCCAAAGCATTAAATTGAGGGCCCACAGGCCCGATGTGGTTTGCCAAAAGGCACACGATGCTAGTGCCATAGCTGGAAGGCACGTTCCGTGACCCCCAGCCCTGTGCTTTGCTCCTTCCTAAGGCACAAGGAAGCAGAGATGTTGCAGGGGCAGCTGGGATCTCTGGAACCACGGAAGGTCATACAGCTACAGAAGCTTCCATCAGGGGGAAAATTTTTTGTTTAAAAGCTAAACTCTTCTTAACCTGAAACGCTCCATAGGTTTAGCAAATAAATGTTCTAGATTTGCCAAGCAGTCCCGATTCCAAATACTCTCCTGAGCACAGGTGGACTTCTGTAACTCAGACCCTGACTTTCAAGGGGTTAAGGAAGAACCAACTCAGAGACACTGGCAGGTCCCAAAATGGTAGGTTTGTCAGGCAACCAACCAAACCCATGGCCTTTCACAAACTCATACCACCCAGAAGTATTCACCTGCCTTACTTACGTCGGCTTCAGTCAATGCTCTTCCCAGGTGCTGAGGCACATCCTTGGGGTTCTCTCTGTCTCAAACCTACTTGCTGTTTTCCCCCAAGTGCTAGCCACAAAGAATCTGGGACAGTTAAGACCCCTCTGCAGTTTTCAACACCCCAACACAACTGAAGGCTAATATCCCATTCTCTGAAACGCAGCCCTGTTTTTTGGACACTCGAGACAATGATGAAGCTATCTGCCCGATGAAACAGTTTCTCATCTCAGCTGGTACACAAACCAGGAGAAACGCAAGGACTGTCCATTCTCTCACAAAAGAAAAGAAGACCTCCGCAGAGGGCCACCGAGAAAAGAACGCGTTCCCTTCTGGGTTCACTGCTCTACCAACTAGGACTCACAACCACCCAAAGGGGAGCCATCGGCATAGGCAGAACTTGCGAGGAGTTGGAACCAATGTCTCCTCCCCAAACGAGAGGGCCCGAGGAGTAACAGCGCAGTAAGGACACTGGATCCCAGAGGGTTAGTTAACTGATCTGCTCACACGGAAGGTCACCGTTCTCAGTGGCACCCTCCAAGCCTTTTTTGATGCTCAGAACCTCAACACCTGTGTGGGTGGCAGACGGGGCTGTATCAGTAGCTGCACTCCCGAGGAGGCAACAAAGGCTCCAAGAAGTTAAGGGTCCTGCCAAGGTGCCAAGATTCAAATCCAGAACTGCCCACTCCAGCCCCATCTCCCTGGATGCTAGAGCTCTAGAATCCCAGCCCAGCCAAATTCGGAGGAAAGGCTGTGTTTTGTGGGTCTGAGAGAAGGGGCAGCCACCTTCACTGAAAGGGACCCAAACTCTTCCCTACTGGTCATCAGCTTACACAATGGGCTTGAGAAATGTAAGCAAAATGTCGAGGTCAAGTTCCCTGCAGCCCCCTCATCTCCCAGGAGACCTTGACCTCTTACCCAATTCCTCCCACGAGCTAAGGGGGTCACGACTAACTAGCAGACCCCGGCAACGATGTGTCGCAGCGGCCGCCAAGGCACCTGCCCTGGAGGGGGCATTGCCCCCCAGGGATGCCCTTGCCCGCACCCCGGGCGATTCTCAGTAAAGGAAGGGCTGGCAGGCTCCCCTGAGCCCTCGACTGAGTCCACCTGATGCTGCAGGGTCGGATTCGGGTTCCAGTCGCATTCACAGAGCATCTCCTACGTGAGTTACCGCAATAACTTGGCCTTCTCCTGAGGCCCATTGTACAGATGGGGAAACTGAGCCTCAGAGGGGAAAAGCGGCTTGGCCGAGGGTGGCGGAGCGGAGATGCAGCTCAAGCCCTCTGACACCGAGGCTCGGCCCTCGGCGGAAGGGCCCGTCGGGCGCCCTCGGCCGTGAAAACCACGACCCTCAAGCCTCCGCGAGAGGTCAGCGCGAGGGGAAAGGCCGCCCCTGGAAGAGCCAGGGTGGGAGCCGCGCTTTCCGTGAGAGCGCCAGTTGAGACACGCAGCGACCCGGCCCGAGAGCCCGCCCCAGCGCCGAGGGCTCGGGCAGCTGAAGCGGCCGAAAGCGGTCGGGCCCAGGAGCGCCGACACCCAGAGCCCCGGCGCCCTGACCTCTCAACCCCACACCCACGAAAGCACGCACTCACCGCGGGCGGCCCGGCAACACTGTGGCCACCTGAGCAGGACGCAGGCCCGCACCACTGAGGCGCTACCACAGCACGCGCTGGCCGCGGGGGTGGAGGCGTGGCCTTCGGGACTCCGCCCCGCCCCACCGAGCCGCGCGCGCGCTGTCAGAGCCGGGCTCCTCCGCCCACGCCCCCCCCCGCAAATCCGAGCTGTTGGTACGGTCCGGCCCGGCCGCGCCCCCTTAGCGGTCCCGCCCCGCCGCCGGGCCAGAGAGCCTGGCGCGGGGCTCTCCTGGCGGCGGGCGTCTTAGTGCTCGTTACGCTGCCGGTACCCGGGCGGGCTGCCCCGCTTCGTGGGTCACCGCGGGGCCGTGGCTGTGCGCCGAGATTGTCTGGCTTGTTGCTGCCGGCTGCCGCTTGCGTGTGTTCGCGCTTCCTCTCCTCCGCGGCCCAGTTCCCTAACCCAGTTCGCGGAGGGCCGGGACGGGAATGCGGGCCCGCTTGGGGTAGGGGACGGGAAGTGATCAGGCCGGGGGCGAGCACTGGACCGCGGAGGCGGAGAGGGGGCAGGGCAGAGGGCGCCTCTGGCTGGAAAGGTCCGGCTGCTTTGGTCGTGGTTAAGAACCCCACCTCTGGGGGCGCCTGGGTGGCTCTGTCGGTTAAGCGTCCTACTCCTGATTTCGGCTCAGGTCATAATTTCACGGTTTTGTGAGTTTGAGCCCCGCATCAAGCTCTGTGCGCTGACCTCTGGGAGCCTGTTACTGATTTTGGAGGACTAGGCGATATAACTTGTGTTTCTAAAAGATTTAACTCCGTGCAGTAGTAAGTGGTCTAGAAATGGAAGCCGTTGCCAGTAGTAGTAGTCGTCATAGCGGTAGTAGTAGAGGCTGTGTTGCAAATTCCTTTTGGAACGGTGGGCAACTCACTTCTTTCAGAGCCCATTCTCCATCTTTAAAGACGGGACCAGCCAACCAACAACAATACTTTGAGAGAGATTATTCCTGCGGCCCCAGTTCTAGGCTTCTGGAGCCAGTCTGTCAAGAACCAGTCTGATCCATCCCATTGAACCAGTCCCTCCAACAGATGTGATAAATGTAATAGCCCTCAGGGTGAGGTGCACCCTGTCCAACCGAGCAAGGAAAGGTGTAACTCTTTCACTTGGCCCTCAAGAGAGGGGTGGGGAAATTCCTCTTCCAGATCTCTGCTACTCCCTCCCACCTTCCCAGTATCTTGTTGAACATCTTCCCTGGGTGTCCCTGGGAGGCTTCAGCCTTTGACTCTGAATCTTTGTACCCTGCTTCCGTGAAGCCACAAATTACGACACTAATCGCTAATCATAGATCACTGAGGCAGGAACAGACACCTTGGTGCTTTTCCCCAATGAACCAGTAACCGAGTCCTATAGATTCTATATCCAGGACCCTCCCTCCCCCTTCTCACCTTATCTGCTGCCTCTGCCCTAGTTCAGGCTTCCCTGGGTTCAACTCTCACCTGGATGGTGTCAGCGGTTCCTGAAGACTGTGCATGTCACTCCGGTTTCTTCTACACCCACTTCCAGGGAAGCTTCTTCAAGTACCTCTCTGCTCACTGCCCTGCCTTCCTGTCCCTGTCTCGTCCTCCCCAGAACACACTCTCGCTGGCCCGCTGGAAAAAAAAAGTAGGTTGGGTACACACTTCACACTCCACACCCATATACATTCCTGATGGATAAAAAATTTAAAGGATGTAAAAAGGGAGAAAAAGGCAAAGTCCTACAAGGAAACATTGGAGAATTTCCTGTTAATCTCCAAAAGGGAGTTCTGAATTATGACAAACTCCAAAAGACATAAATGAAAGGTTGGGAAATCTGCCTACATAAAAATAAAAACTTGTGTGCCAAAGACCTGCAGACGGGAGGCACCTGGGTGGCTCCGTTGGTTAAGCATCCAATTTTGGTTCAGGTTATGATCTCTGAATTCATGAGTTCAAGCCCCCTATCGGGCTCTCTGCTCCTGATACTTTGTCCCCACCCCCCTCTCCCTCTGCCACTCGCCTGCTTTCGTACTCTGTCTCTCAAAAATAAACATAAAAAGAAAAAAAAGACCTACAGGCAAAGTCAAAAGACAAATGGAAAATATTTGCTATTAAGAATCAAAGGACTAGTTTCCCTCATAAAGAGCTGCACTAATTAATGAGAAAAAACAAATTAATATAAGTGGACAAAAGATATCAATCATCAGTTCACAGAAAAAAAGAAATACAAATGGCCTTTCACCATAGGAAGAGTTTTTCAACCCCACACGTAAAAGAAATGCAAATCGGGGGCGCCTGGGTGGCTCAGTCGGTTAAGCGTCCGACTTCAGCTCAGGTCACGATCTCGCGGTCCGTGAGTTCGAGCCCCGCGTTCGGCTCTGGGCTGATGGCTCAGAGCCTGGAGCCTGCTTCCGATTCTGTGTCTCCCTCTCTCTCTGCCCCTACCCCGTTCATGCTCTGTCTCTCTCTGTCTCAAAAATAAATAAATGTTAAAAAAAAAAATTAAAAAAAAATGCAAATCAAAACTCAGTTGGGATAACCTTTTTAATCTATGATGATGACAAACCCCAAAAACTTGATGAGACACTGTGGGCGGAGCCATGGGGAAATAGACACTGTCATTTATTGTTGCTACATCAGTACATGAATATCACCCAGCTATAAAAAGGACAAATGAGGAAGTTCACTGCTGACATAGAACAATCTCGAATAAATTGATTTTAAAAAATGAAAGTGATAGCAGTTGTAGAGACCTACTGTTTGTGTTTTTAGAGAAAGTTGCTGCGGTGCCTGGGTGGCTCAGTCGGTTGAGCGTCCGACTTCAGCTCAGGTCACCATCTCGCGGGTTCGTGAGTTGGAGCCCCGCATCGTCCCGGTCTGTGCTGACAGCTCAGAGCCAGGAGCCTGCTTCCGATTCTGTGTCTCCGGCTCTCTCTGCCCCTCCCCCACTCCTACTCTGTGTCTCACTCTCTCTCAAAAATAATCATTTAAAACATTTAAAAAAGAAGAAAAAGAAAACACTATTTAGTTACCCTAAGTTGAATGCATACACACTTTTTAAAAATACCCAAACAACCTTGTCTCTGGCCAAAGAACCAATTCTTTTACTGGCTCCCAGTCCCTAAAGATTAGTAACTACACACTTGATTTTTCTGAAATCAAAATCAGACACATGTGGGTTTCGGACAAGAGTTTCCTGCCAATTCTCCTCCTTTTCCCCTTTATCTTCACTGCCCAGAAAGAATCACCTCTTAACTTGTTTAGCACTTTATTCTGGTCCTTATTTCCATGCTGGTAAATAAATGTCTTTGTGGCTGACTGTTGTCCCATATTTGAGGTGTTACCTCTTCAGTCCTGCTAATGGTCATTAAAACCACAACCTGTCTCCCTTGCCCACGCATTTCAACATAATTACTTATAACTTACTTTACTTCCTCTACTAGTCATCTTTATAATTGAAGCAGCAGCCTTGGACCTTTCTCCGTCCATCCACTGCAGGCATATCTCTTCATACTCCATGATGTTATCATGATGTATCCTTGTCCTTGTTGCTCTGTGCCCCCACCTCTGCTTCCCACGTTCAGCCGTCTGCCCCTCGACATTTTCACGAATGAGCTTGATAATGTTTACATTCTATACGTGTTTTTGGCTTTGTCTCACGTGGGAAGTCCAGGCAACAAGCGGCATTGACACTGCTGTAACATTGGGCAGAGTGTGCACAGATGAGCCAATCAGCCCTGTGACTTCAGGGCTCTTCCTGTGCAGCTGCCCTCTTTCCAAAGGTTCATTCCCCCCCCCCCCACCCCGCCCCACCCAGGCATGATGTAAAAGAAACAGGTCTTCTGTCTCTCCCTGGATCTGGTTTATCAAGCTTTTTGCAGAGACCCCCTCCAGCGTTCTTGAACAACCCCCTGCCCCCATCCAGACAAGTCACTGTCAAGGACGGAGTGTGAGTTCCTATCTGTTTCAGTCCTCATAGCAGGTGCACAATCAAAGTGTGTGGAAAGGATAGATCTCCTTAGTCTGGAATGCAAGGGTGTTCAAAAGCCAGCCTTATCTTTCCAGTTTGGTCTTTATGACTTTCCTCCACAAACTCTATACTCCAGCAAAATTGAACAAATCCTGGTATGCGCTGTGTATTTTTACTCCTCTGAGCCATCAGGAATGTCATTCTTGTTTCATGTTTATATGTCTGTGTCCCACCAATGTGCCCACCTCCGAAAAGCTGCCCTTAGCCCTCCTGGAGTGATGGCTTCTTACTACTGTCCAGCCCTCCAAGGCCCCAACTATTTCCTACTTTAAGTCACATCTCCAGAATATTGGTCTCCTTTTGATCTGGAGTCCGTCCAGGTCATGTCTGTGTCTGGGGTCTCCTCTGTCTGTCTCTCTGCCCCCAAGTCTTGCCAAATACAGGCAACAGGAGGCATGTGTTAGATGAGCCACAGAGGATTCGGGAAAGGTGGGCTGGAGTTACAGAGACTAGACTGGGGTCGGTGGGAGCTAGGGACTGGACTGTGGTCATTGCAGGACAAGGACTTGGTGGCCTGCCCAGGGCCCTGGTTTATTGGGTTTTGGAGCAGGGGAGCTATCGCCACTGAACAGGTGCAGGTGTGACCGCATTAACAGTTCATTGTGAATGTGTGATCTTTTAAGGGAGTGATGGGGGGGGGGGGGCACCAGGGCTATTATCTGCTGCAGGCAGTCCAGTCCCACACATTTCCCCCATAAGGTTCTCCAGAACATGAACAATGTGAAAACTCATTGCACCTGCAACAGACAAAGTGTCTTTCCCTGGGAGCAGCCTTTAAACTGTAGCATCCTCCAAAGCTAATCTTACCTTGTATCACTACCTTTTGATCACCATGATCCCTTGGAACCTTCTCTTGTTCTATAGAACCAAATGCTTATTGAACACTTGTAATGGGCTCCCACTTGCTATGGGATAGAGGGGACTATCTACCATTTATTGAGTACCAAATAGATTCCAAGCTCTGGGCTCATCACTCTCTACATGTTACTGCAAATCTTCTCTCAGAAATATACATGGGACGCCTGGGTGGCTCAGTCAGTTAGGCAGTTAGGAGTCCGACTTCAGGGGAGATCATGATCTCACTGCATTGGGCTCCATGCTAACAGCTCAGAGCCTGGAGCCTGCTTCGGATTCTGTGTCTCCCTCTCTCTCTGCCCCTCCCCTGCTTGCGTGCTCTCTCTCGCTCTCTCTTAAAAAGAAATAAACATTTTTAAAAAAGTATACACTTTTATCCCCACTTGACAGATGAGTAAACAAAGGCTCAGAGAGTGAAGGGATTTGTCCCAAGTTCCCCAAGATCCTACAACTAGTAAGTGTGAACTATGACAAACCTGGTGCCCATGTGAGCTTGTCAAGTTTGTTCAAACCCTTCCCACCTCACCCCATCCCTGGGAGTGTCAGGCTGGGTCCTCCCCAACCCCACTTCCCCCCAACCCCTACCCTGGGACACCCACTCAGCTCCTGAGGTCTCTGTTCAGCTCTTACTTTGGAGTGGTGCCATTCCCCAGGTTGGTATGGACTCCCCACACTTGTGCCCAGGCAGCCCCCTCTGCTGAGGGCTCTAGCCTTAGCCTCTCGGGGCCCCTGTTCCAGGGGCCTGACTCTTCTCTACTCCTTCTGACTCAGGCTTCCTCTTTCATGGGCATGCAGATTCTTTTTTTTTTTTTTTAATGTTTATTTATTTTTGAGAGAGAGAGAAAGAGAGAGAGCACAAATGGGGAGGGGCAGAGAGAGAGGGAGACACAGAATCCGAAGCAGGCTCCAGGCTCTGAGCTGTCAGCACAGAGCCTGACACCGGGCTTGAACTCACGAGCTGTGAGATCATGACTTGAGCTGAAGTTTGAACTTAACCCACCGAGCCACCCAGGTGCCCCATGACCTTGGAGTTTCTTTAAGAGTCTTCATGCCCAGGGCGCCTGGGTGGTTAAGTCGGTTGAGCGTGGAGCTTCGGCTCAGGTCATGATCTCACGGTTTGTGGGTTCGGGCCCCCACCGTTGGGCTCTGTGCTGACAGCAAAGTGGGTCGTAGGTCAGCTGGGCGCTCAGAGAAGTTGGGTTGACACTGCCCACAGATGCAGAGGGGTGCGGCTGGTAAACTGAAGGCAGCCTCCTCACTGCTCAAAAATGCTAGCTAAGTGTCACACCAGCTCTCTGACGTGGTGTCTGAAATGCCACCAGGGCCCTCCAAGTCTGTCAAAGTAAGCATCGCCCTGGCCCTCTTCCCTCGGGAGGTTTCCGTAAGCATGCAGGGGAAACGAGTTTGCAGATTTCCCGATGCCACAGGCAGATTTCCTGATACCTGCAGGGCCAGGGATGAGGCAGTCACCCACGCACAGATGCACAGAACCTCCATCAGGAGGTCAACGGCCAAATTCTGCTTTGACTGCTAACCAGATGCGTGGTTAGTCTCTTTATTTCCCTTCCTGGATAAGAAATCAGTTTCCTTATCCGCAAAATGGGGGGTGGGGGCGGGGGCAGGTATCCTGTGCCTGCCTTTGCCACTTCTCACAGGCATCCTGAGGCTTGTGATCATGAGCGAAAGGATGGTTGTGTGACAGCGGGGTAGAAGGCCAGTACACAGGTGAGCCTCACTGTCAAAGAGGAGAGGAGGGTAGAGCCCGAAGACGCACCTCCCTGACCTCTAAGCCCACGGCCAAACCTCATGCCTAGGACCCTGGACTTCCTGAAGCTCTTCGATGAGCCCTTGGTCTTGTCCCCACTCTTACAGGGGAGGAAACTGAGGCAGGGAACTAGAGCAGCAGCCCCTTCTGGCTGGGGCACCCCAAAGTCAGTTTTTTCTCCACAGATGGGATGCTTCTCTGCCCAAATCCCTTTTCCAAAGGGCTCAAGACATCACAGTTCCTTTCTGATGTCAGGGACAGCTGGCTTGGCCTGCGCAGAGCCTCCCAGTTCAGGCCTCTGGTCGTGAGCCAGGTCCTTATGAAACAGAGCAGAGGGGCGGACTGCTGGGCTTAATGAGCCAGGTGTATGTGGCCGAGCTGGCTGCAGGGTGTGCTGGCCAGCTGGGACAGCTGTGGCTCTACTGTGTGTACACAGTGCTGTGGGGGCTGGATAAATTGTTCCCAGGGAACAGCAGAGAGGAGAGGGCAGAAGCGGCTGGGGCACTAGAATAAGAAGGCCCTGAAACCTGGGGGCTTCCAGAAGGCACCTGGAACATACGGGGGAAGGCAGAGGCTCTGGATGTCTCAAAGGGCAGGTAATGGGCTGCCTCCAACCGAGTCATCACGGGGCCTGTTAAATGCCAACTCCTAGGGCACCCCTACCCCCAGCCACTGGGTCAGGATCTCTGCAGGCAAGACAGAAATTGAAACTTTAAATCAATCAGCACATGGGAATACAAGAACCACTGCCTTACTGGGTTAACTTGGCCAGAACTGGGGGTGGGGGTGCGTCATCCGAAGTCTGGCTCAGGTGGATCCAAACACGAAAGCGAATAAAGAGGAGGGGGCGGTTGCTACAAAGGGCGAAGTCCAGAATACGACCAACCTACTGGCCTGGCTCCCGGAGGTGTTGAAAACACTTCCCCCCAAGGCTTCCTCACCGCCTCCCTGCTACTCCCACACCCCCGGGTCCCTCAAACCATGTCCAAAGTTCAACAGTTTCAAAGAGGCAGCCCTGAAGTGAAGGAACAAACATGGCCTTTGGCAACAGCAGGTTGGGTTTCCAATCTGGACTGCCAAGGCCCTGTGAGCTGTGTGGCCTTGGAAGGGTCCCAGGAGGGCTCTTGTGATGTGGTCCCTTAGGGCCTGGGTGAGGATAACACAGGTCTATGTGTGTCAAGGCCAAGCGCATTGTGGTTCTCAGGAATAAGGATTCCTTCCTCTTTCCCACTCCCTACCCAGCCACACACCCACCCTTCCCTTTGTTCCTTTCTCTGTTATGCAACCAAAGTTTAAATCCTTCGTAGGTTCACTGCCAGCAAACAGCAAAACAGTGGCCTGGCAAAGGGAGGTTTCGAAAACCACATTGCCCACGTTCTTGTCCACGTGCTCTAGGACAGGACCTCTGCACTCTTTCCCCAATATCGCAAAGAGCCCCGTAAGTGGTTACTTCCCCAAATCGCTGAGCTGCGGCCAGCTGTTGCTATGGCGACCAGAACCCGCTGACAACCATCTTGAAGGGCCTCTGAGGAGGAGACTGCTTGGCTTCCATTCACGCACAGTTCAAACGGCTCGGCTCGCCCACAGGTACTGACAGCACCTGCCGTGCGCCCGCCCTGAGTGGCCACCTCGCAGAAACAGAAGTAGGGTAGAGCTGATCCCCGGCCCGGAGGGGCTGGTGGTCTCCTGGACACCGGTGTAGTTCAGTGATTCTCAAAGTGTGGTCCCCAAACCAGCATCACACCTGGGACTTGGCTAGAAATGCCACCTTTCAGACCTCTTCCCAAGTCCACTGAATCAGCAACTCTGGGGGAGAGGGGATCCCCAAATCTGTGTGTCAATGAAAGCCCCCCTCTCAAGGGATGCTGTTGGAGGCTGAGGTTTGAGAACCACAGATCTCACTAAAACCTCACACGATCTCAAAAGGTGTGTACTAATGTTCCCATAATACAGATTAGGACACTGAGGCTCTGACCTGGTCTGGTGTGTGACGTGTTGTAGGCTCTCGGGTCCCTCGGGGTTGTCAGGTTCTACCTCTGTAGCACCTGTGTGAAGGTAACGAGCCGATCTTCTTCCGGGGTCCCACCTGGAGAAGCCTACCCCCGTGGAGGTATCTTACACTGCATCCAGCAGGGGCAGGGGCTGAGCTGGCCCGAGCATCCTGGCACAGACACAGGCTCTCAGAAAGCAAGAACCTCAGGGCGCCTGGGTGGCTCAGTTGGTTAAGTGTCTGACTCTTGGTTTTCAGCTCAGGGCGTGATCTTGTGGTTCATGAGATCGAGCCCCGCATCGGGTTCCGTGCCGACAATGCAGAACCTGTTTGGGATTCTCTCTCTCTCCTTCTCTCTGCCCTTCCCCACCTCTCTCTCTCTCTCTCTCTCTCTCTCTCTCTGTCTCTCTGTGTCTCTCTCAAAATAAATAAATAAACTTAAAGAAATAAATTAAAACAAAAAAACAAGAGCCTCACAACAGGGCAGAGAACAGCTGGGAGGAATGTCAGGAGAGCCACCCTGGTGACAACCGCTTGCCCCAAATGTGGCAACGCTGAGCTGACAGAGTGTTCATCCAGCCAAGGCCACCCTCACTTCCAAGCCTCTTCCTGCCCAAACCCAGCCCTGAGACCTTTTGTTGTGTGCTCACTCACCTCTATCCTGCATTGGTCTCTTTCCATGCACCCGCCCTCACAGACTCGCAGGGTCCTGGAGGTGTTGAAAACCTTACATGCCACCCCTCCCCAAATTTGGAATCTACTTTTTCAGTAACTCATGGCTTCCAGCCACTTTTTGCATACACCCTCTGACGAGGCACTCGCTGCCTTTTCAGGCAACCCATCCATCTGTGAAATCTCTGGCTGGCTCAAGTTCCCTTTGAATGAGCTGACATACATCCCCGTGCCGTTTCCACCTTTACAATATGAGTTAATCCAATCCCTTTTAACAGAGATTATAGACTTATTTTCCAAGTACCATATGAAGTAAGAATATCTATGCCAATCAGTTCTCATGAACCCACCACCCACCTCTGCAGAGAAACGGAGCAGGCGAAACATACCAACCCATCATCTTGAGGACAGTGGGAATGAGATCAGGGTGGGGGTAGGGAGGGGCAGGAGGAAGGAAAGGAGGAGGTAGAAGGAAAGCTCCAAGCTGCCTTGGAGCCACCATCCTGCCACTTGGCCCTGAGGGACCCTGGCAGGACTGGAGCAGGTTTCCCAAGGGCTGACGCACACTGGGGCCCCCTTTAAGAAAAAAGGCTGTAAGGGGCACCTGGGTGGCTCAGTCGATTAAGCGTCTGACTTCGGCTCAGGTCATGATCTCATGGCTCGTTGAAGCCCCACGTTGGGCACTGTGCCGACAGCTCAGAGCCTGGAGCCTGCTTCGGATTCTGTCTCAGTCTCTCTCTGCGCCTCCTTTGCTCGTGCTCTTTCCCTCTCTCTCAAAAATAAATAAACATTAAAAAAAATTTTTTTTAAATAAGAAAAAAGGATAGAATATTACAAATACCGTGACCCAGATTTTGTTCCATTTTGAGAAATAAAGTCACAGATGGATGTTTTATACTGACAGAGAAGTTAAAGCTCACTCACGGTGTTTTTAGCCTTAATTTTCAGGTTTCTTCTCCTTCTTTTTTTTTTTTTACAGCAAACAGGGGTCTTGCAGCTTCAGGGAAATGTGCCTCTGACCCTGGGTGTGTTGTCCCGATTTCCCGGCCTCAGTTTCTTGTCTGCGAAACAGGGGAGATCCTACCCACTTTCCTTTTTTTTAAATTTTTAAAAATTTTTTGAATGTTTATTTATTTTTGAGAGAGAGAGCATGAACAGGGGAGGGGCAGAGAGAGAGGGAGACACAGAATCGGAAACAAGCTCCAGGCTCCAAGCCATCAGCCCAGAGCCCGACGCGGGGCTCGAACTCACGGACCGCGAGATCGTGACCTGGCTGAAGTCAGACGCTTAACCGACTGCGCCACCCAGGCGCCCCATGTTCTCCGATTTCTAAAGATGACTGCTGGGAGCCCGCATGGCTGGGGAAACCAGTAAATGGCTCCTAAGGCAAGGAGAGGGATAGACGGGCGCCTGGGTTCAGTGCTTCGCATGTGGGAAGCCCAGGCGAAATCTCCCTGGGAAAACCAGTGACCTCAGAGGACTAGCCCTCTAGTAAAAGACACTGATCAACCCCTCATTACCAATCACTTTTGGTTTTCAGGATTACTTTTCACAAAATTCTTTCCCAAGCGGCCCTCAGTGCATTTCTGAGGAACGGCTTTGCACGCATGTGGTCTCAGAGACCCTGTTCACCCCAGAGGCAGCTTCCCAGGGCCTTGGAGAAACCCTTTGGCTTTGGGGCGGAGGGCGGGTGGGTCATGCCCCACAAGGAAGGAAACCCGATCAGGCGCCTCACGGAGATCCGCAGGGACGATAACAGGATTAGTTTAATCCTTTTGGCAACATTGGCTCTGCCAAGCTGGCCAAGAAGAAAAGATGACGCTGTTGTTCAGGAAAGAGAAAACAGCTACGGCCTTGTTGCCCTGAATGTGTTTTGCGAGAATGCCTTATAAACTCCCTCTTAGCTCCTGGTCCAAGCCAGGTGTCTTCGGGTGCCCAATTCGAGACAGCAGCCACTACGAGTCCGGCCTCCCAGGCAGGCTGCAGGCGGCACCCCCATGCAGGGCTGAGGCCTGCTTGCAGAGAGGCTTCACCCCATCCCACCCTTCCCAGGTCATCCAGACCAGCGGCTGCAAACCTCAGGAGGTGGAAGAATCCCCATGCACCATTCCAGGGACCCCATTCAGGAGGCCAGGGGCCAGGAATCTGTATACATTTTCATCCCGTGGGTGGTCCAGAAAGCGCAGAGCTAGAGAAATAAGGGGTCTTTCTCTAGGGACTCAGCCTGACACCCCGCAGCTGGGCCAGCACTCCCCTGCGTCCCCCACTGCCCACCCAGGCCCGCTAGACGCGTGTAGTGAGCACTGCCCTTGACAGGCCAGCCCTGGGCCTCCCAGGCCGTGTGGCCTTGGGCACTCCGCTCTGCTTCTCTAAGCCAAAAATGCCTGCCCAGCCAGCCTCCAGGAAAGAGAGAGGTTGACCGTGAAGATCTGTGCACTGCAAGCCTCTGGAAAATTCCCCCGAAGTCACTGGTCTTCGGCTTGGGGGCTCAGGGCCGGAAATTGGAAATGGCCGGAGGATTGGGACAGGGTGGGAGCCGGTGAGGTGGAAGAGAATGGAAAAGGGTAGCACGTCACTTGGTCCTTCCACAAACTTAAAACTAGTCAGCACAGACAAAACTTCCAGATCATCACATGCAACCTCCTCATCTAGAGATGTGACAACTCAGCCCAGAGAGGCTGAAGCTGCTGCCCAAGGTCACACAGTAAATGGGGTGGCAGGACTGGGACTAGAGCCCTCGGTTCAGCATCCCTATCCAGGACTTGTCCCATGACACCACCAGGCCTGGTGCAGGTCGGGGACAGGCACCACACCAGCTCCTTCCTCCCCTCAACCCCCCGCAGGCTGGGGTGGACAGAGGGCATGCCAGAGCCCCACCAGCTACCTGCCTCCTCGCCGAGGCTTCTCCAAGCCATTCTGCCCATCCCCAGCTCCTCTCAGGTCTCAATCCCACCGTCCTGCCAGGTACGGACAGCCTGCTCTCTGCCCTCTTTGCCTTGGACCAGGCTTCCCTCAGAGGGACAAGGTGGGGGCAGTCCTGCCACCTCCTAGTGCTCAGTCTCCAGCCTCCTAACCCCTGCACCTGCCCTGTCCCCATGTTGAGGATGCACCCACCTGGGCAGCCGGGGGTGTAGATGCCCTAGGCAGGGCCAATCAGCAGGGGCAGTTCCTGTGCTGGGCACCGTCCTGCCTTCCCAGGACTGGAGCCCCATAGTGGCCTTTTACGGGGCAGAGGGGCATGGTGTGATGGCTTAGTTTAGGGTATCTGTATCTGAGAAACGCCTCCACCCTGAGTGGCCCTGCCAGGCACCGAAAAGAGCGAGGTGAGGCTGGAGCTGGTTCCAGAACAGCCTCTGCCCTGGCCAAGGCCTTCACCCCTCACAAAACAGCCAAGATGCCCCATTCAGCCAAGCCCAGGCTTCTTGTGTGTTTATGAGTAGGGCCCAGGGGAGGGAGGCCTCTTTGGGACATATGACATCCTTAGCACCCCATAGTCCATGCTTGGAAGCTTCAGACCCTGGCATCAGGAGCCAGATATGACTATTCCCACCTACTCTGGGAACTTGAACAGGTTATGCCACCTCCAAGCCTCAGTTTCTTCATCTCTAAGATGGAAATAATTATAACACTCACTTCGTAGGATTGACACAGGACCTAGCAGGTAGGTACTCAGTCACTATTTGAATGAATGAATGAATGAATGAATGACCAGAAAGATGATTAGGACAGTGAGGGATCTGGAAACTAGTCCAAATATATCTTAACAACCCTATTTTCTCAATAGGTCACCCTGTCTGGGACAGATGCCTAAGGCCTCTCCCATTACCTACCAGCTCAGGCTGGAGAGGAGGAGGAGGCCCGTCACAGGGGCTGAGGGGCTCACCTGGGAGTCTGTATATGCTGGGGAGCCAACAAAGGTTGCATGCAGCATGTGCACTTTGGATCAGAAGAGCCTGGGTGCTCAGGAGAGAAGCCACGAGGATCTTCACTGGGCAGGGCCAGTAGGGAGGAACTGAGGACCTGGCCAAAGAGGCATTGTAGAGGCCCTACGATGGGCCTTTAGTGACAGATGAGAGAGTGAGGGTGAAGGAGGAAGGGAAGGTTCTGGCATATGAAGTGACTGTGTAAGTCCTGGAGCAGGGGACATTGGCCACCATTCTTCAGAGTGGCCCTCAGTGATCTCACCTCCTGATATCCCACACTATATCAGGACTGGCCTATGTGACCACGAGCCACACAGGAAGGAGGGTGACATATGACCCAAAGCTAGGCCATCAAAGACATTGCAACTTTTCTGCCTTACTTCCTTTTCTCTGATCAGCTCTGGGGAAAAGCCAGCTGCTACACTGTGGGAATACATAGCCTCAAGAAGAGGCCCTCACGGCATAAGACTGGGGCCTTCTGCCAAAACCCAGCGAGATGCTGGGCTCTCCCACCAATGGCTGTGCGAGTGAGCGGGCAACAGACCCTCCGGCCCCAGTCGGCTTCAGATGCTGGCAGCCCCACGTGTAACCTCAAGGCAGGCCTTGAGCCAAACCATCCAGCTAAGCTGCTCCAAATTTTCTGACCCACAACAACTGTGAGATAATAAATGTTTGCTATTCCAAGCTGCTGGATCTGGGAATCATTTGTTATGCAGCAATAGCCAACTAATACAGGGACCTAGAGCACCGTGATCTTACTCTCCTGCCGTCCTTCCTAGAGGAAGGGAAGATTATTATTACCACTGTGTGGTGTTGGGGCTGGGTGTCCCCCAGTCACGTGGCCCATGGCTTTACCCGCCTCCCTTTAGAGCTTACAGAGCATTTTCACATAAGCCAACTTTTCATTGTTGCAACGAGCTGCAGGAGGTGATTATAATCCCTGTCTCTGAGGGGGAAACTGAGGCTCAGAGAGCTGGGCTTGACTTGCTCAAGATCATACTTGTCAGTAGCAGGGCCTGGTCCAAAACCAGGATGAGCACACGGTGGGCCCTTGGCACAGCCTGGGGCCTGACTGGCTCGTTGCAAAGGCTGGCGAGCACAGTCACAGGCAGGAACCTATGCCAAATGGACACCAGCAGACGGCAGCCTGCTGAGCAGGACAGGGGGTGCTGGGGCTGGCTCTGTGGGGGGCTTCCTATGTAAGAAGTCAGCTGAGGGTAGGCAGGTGCTATAAGGAATAAAGCAGGGAGGAGGGTGAGGAAGCTCGGAGTGCTGTTTTAGACATGGGGCATCTCTGATAAGTGCACAAGTAGGGTGAGACCTGAAAGAAGTCAGGGAGTGAGCCATGCAGACATCTGGGGGAGAGGCCTCCAGGCAACCAGAGCAGCAGGTGCAAAGGCCCTGGGAGGTGGGGAGAGCATGCTCCACACTCAGCCCTGGACTCAAGTGCTCAGCACAAAACGGGCTGCTTTGAAAGCCAGGGGCCCACTGTCTCCCCTAACCAATGAGCCTGGGCTGGAGGGAGCGTCAGCTGAAGCACAGAGGAAAGACCCAGACTTCACCTGGCCGCGTGTCCCAGCTGTACGACCTTGGACAGGGCTCTTCTTCCATCTGCACCCCTAGATCAGGTGCAGGGGCCCAGTGACTGTAGAGATTGGCCAGATGTCCCCAGATGTCTGGCTTCTGGCACTCAGTAGACAGTACCGAGTTTTCTCGGAAGACCGAGCTGGAAAACAAAGAAACCGGAGGGGTACTGGGGAGGGACTAGGTCCCATTAGCAGCTACAAGATTTGAGTGCCCCCCCCAAACCCCATCAGGGCAGCTACTTGGTGTCTTTCTCCCAGGCCAGAGGCCAAGAGCACTGAAGAGCTGTTCTCTAGAGACAGAACCACTAGTCCCCCTATCCTGCTCCCAGCCTCCTGGACCACCAGGGTAGGAGTGAGAAGTGAAGGCCAAGGGCAGGGATTTCCAAGTGACCCTCAAGAGTTAAATGACAGAGGGGCACCTGGGTGGCTCAGTTGATTGGGCGTCCAACTTCGGCTCAGGTCCTGATCTCATGGTTTGTGAGTTTGAGCCCCACATAAGGCTCTGTGCTGACAGCTTGGAGCCTGGAGCCTGCTTCCGAGCCTGTGTGTCTCTCTCTGCACCCCCACCCCACTTGTGCTCTGTCTCTCAAAAATAAATAAATGTAAAAAAAAAAAAGTTAAATGGCAGCTTTGCTTATGGTGGGGAGGGGGCTGGGTGAGAGGAGGGGGTCCTGAGGGGTCAGAAGGAAGGGAGGGGAGACAGGGTGCCATGGGGGCAAGGAGTGACAAAGACGAAGGCACTCAGTCCCCCCGCCCCCACACATGCACACACAGGCACATAGATATGTCAACAGGTATGCACGTACATACACATAGAAACATGTGCGTGCACACACAATACACGTATCCACATAGGCGCACATGCATACACACAGGAAACGTGCATGCACACATATTCACACATGCACAGAGCTCGGAGAAGACCCGTGTTGGTTAAGCCACATTCAGCAGAGATGTTTTGGCTCTCGGCCCGGCAAGCCCCCCTCCCTGGTTGCGGGGCAGCCTGAACAGTAGGAAGAGCAGGGCAGGACCAGCGAGCTGAAGACCTAAGTGTCCATCAAGACTCTGCCTTTACCGAACACGTCACTTCCTTCCCTGAGCCTCAATATGCTCATCCATAAAATGGTAGTAAGAGTCGTGCCTCCCAGGGTTGGGTGACAGGCTCAGGACCCCCGAAAGCCCACTGGAGAGAATGAAGCCAGATCTCAGGACTTAGCTCAGGATTTTGCCTTTCAGGACCGGTGATGGGGGTTGGGGCCAGGCTCCCTAAAGCTGGAGAGGGCTGGAATTGTTACCTAACACCACCCAGAGCCTCCCAGGGCCAGCAGCAACCTAAGCTCCAGCTCCCTTCTCCCTGTGGCCCAATGTAACAGGACTCCCAGCCGGAGCTGGTTCTCAGGAAAGCTTAACCTCTCCCAGGTGCAGAAACCACCAGAAGCTCAGGGGCGGGAGGGGCCCAGGGCCTGCAGGGAGGCCCAGGCTTCTTGCATTAGGACTGGGATTGCAGCGTGAGGGGTTGGGGCCGACACGTCCACCCCAAACACTCCAGAGAGCTTGCTAACACTAAGGGGTACTGAGCCACATTGGCTCAAGAGGCCCGGGCGGAAGCTGACACAGGGCCAGCATGGGACAGGGCTGTCCTCATCCAGAGAAGGCAGTCTCTAGAAGCGATGGGAGGCTGGTATGTGGGATTGGCCTCCACACTCCATGCAGCTTCAGGACAGGATTCTTTCCTCTCAGGACCAGAGGCGATCAAAGGGCCTTTCCCGCACAGTCAGCACTGTCCCTGAGACGAACCAGCTGGCACAAGGACCTTTCCCACTGGAGAATGGGTGAATCACTACACCGTGTCCCCTCCACCTTCAAACGTTTCCACTAGCTCCCATGTTGAACACACACACACACACACACACACACACACACAGATGCAACCACCCTGTGCCTCACTCACATGCTCACTCCTCCCCAGTCCATTATGGGGTTCCCTGAGGGAAGAAAGACTGATGGGATGCTGGTATTGGGAGCCACTACCCACCCCAGACCCCAGGAGAGGCTCCCTCCTTGCATCCCAGGTAAGAAGAAGAGAAACCAGATTAGTGGAATTTGACACCTGTGGTTCAGGCCAGCTGTCTTCCTTTACAGGACAGGGAGGGATTCGGGCTCCCTGCTCTCCAGCATTCACGGCCAAGGTGACAGCTTCCCTCCAGATGGCAGGGCCCTGGGGATCTCTCTGGGATGGCAGGGAGGGGAAGAGGTCAGGGCAGGTGGGAGCTGGGGAGTGGGACACTCGCACGCCACCTTTCCATCCGGGGCATCTGGTTATGCCCAACCTCACCTCTAAGGCCAGGTGATCTTCCTGCACACCTGGAGCCCCGAGAGTCAAAGAGGGACCACACCTGGGAGTGGAGACCAACAAAGAACAAACATGAGGCTCAAGGGTTTTAGATTCCTTCTCTGCCAACCACAGGAACGCCCCTGGGCGGCCCAACATACGGGAGATCCAGAGAGAGCTGGCTCGCCCTTTGGCAGAGATTTCAGGCCTGTAGAAGGATCTGGTCTGCCGGTCCCCAAACGCCCTCCCTCCTCAAGCCCCCTGAGCCCTGGGCGCACAGTGGCCCCAGAAGCAGGCCTGTTTCAGCCTGCTTCATCGTTGGGTGATTTGTGCGGCTCCCCTCAGACTTGGGCACAAACAAGCAGAGAAGGCTCCCAGTGGTCTCCACTACCGGCAGGATTAAGTCCAAACCTCTTAGGCTGAGCCTCAGAGCCCCTCCCACCTGGCCCCCATGGCCTCTCCACATCCATGTTTCCCCGTCGATGCTTCCTCACCCCACTTTCTGGTCTAGCAGGCTAAACACATCCGTCTTGGCACATACTCTCTTCCCAGAGCACCCTTCTCATTCCATCCTGAAGAGGCCTGCTCAGCCCTCCAGGCCGGGTTTGGGGATCACCTCCTCTGGAACGGCTCCCGTGGGTCCCGAAGTGCTGGCTGATCGCTTCTCTGTGCTCTGCAGGAAGTGAGCAGATGCCTCTCCTGGAGCCTCCCGGGACTAGTGTGGGTTCTGTCTCCCTTGCCAGAACATACTGGGGACCAAGCCTTGCAGCCTTTGCGTGCCCAGCCCATGATGAGGCCCAGGAGGTAGCAGGTACTCAGTAACTATTTGATGAGAGAATGAATGAGTGAAGAGTGAATGAGTGAATGAGCAAAAGGGTCAGGGTGGCCGTTGCCAGGGCTCAGGCTCCCAGGATCCATCATCCTGGACCAGGTGGGCTCAGAGCACAAGTGTGGCCTCCCAAGCCATGTGCAGATTCCCAGGGCTTATTAAGCACTTACTGTGTGCATCACCCCCCAGCCCCTCTGTTCTGTTCTGAGAACATGCCTGGCCCTCTGCTCTTGTTCCTCTGTCTACCTGGAAAAGTCTTCACCCTGATCCTCTCATGGCTGCTCCTTGGATTCCTTCAGGTCCCAGTGGCAATGTTGCCTCCTCCAGGTGGCCTTCCCTGATCTAAAGTTGCCGCTCTCTGTGTCTCATCAAGCGGCTTTCCTGCCCTGCGTTGTGCTCTCGTTAATTCATGGCTTTGTTTGTCTGTTGGCTAATTGTCTTTCCCTCCCTCCCCCCCGCCCCAGACACACACACACACACACACACACACACACACATGCACGCACAGATCACTAAGCTCTTGGAAGGCAGACATTGGCCACCTTGCTCACCGCTGTGCCCCCTGAACCTAGAATAAGTGCCTGGCACACAGTAGGTACTCCATAGATGTACAGTGAATGAACACAAGCTTTGCCAGGTGGTTCCTGTCCTCCAGTGGACAGACACCTGCCGAAGAAGGCCACCTTGCACAGTTTGTCACTGATAAGGTAACAGTCTTTCCAGCCCCCGAGGGAGCCGCACTTGTTGGATGCACAGCACTCAGGCCCCTCTGTGCAGGCCCCTCTTGCTGGCAGCCTCCCTAAAGGCCAGGTTCCTCTTCGTATTCTGCAAGGGAGGGGTGGAAGGTCTGCAAGGAGCGGCACTTTGCACACAAGTCAAACTCTAGAAAGAAGCATTTTTTACCCTCTCCCTCTCTGTTGTGTCTATAATCTCCCTC